TTAAATTACTTATACAGTTGCCTAGTAGATAATAAAAATATAATAAAAATGTAAATATAATAATAAAGGTATAATGAAAATGTATTATATTACTCCAGCATCAAAAATTAATTTGCCCTTTTTTAATTTTTAGATTTGCAAATTCTTTCTATACTTATTGATATTCAGCATTTTAACTTTAATTTTAATCCAAGCTAAAAAAGCATGTTTCTAATAAACTGCTTTTTTTATTTTATTCTACTATCATTATTAGAATTTTCTCAAAATAAGTCATATCATTTTAATATTATACTCAATTCAAAATCATAAGTAGTAAACAATAAACGTCAAAATTAATAAATGTTCGGGATTCTACTTTTTTGTAATATTAAATCATAATTGCAATAAATAATTTAATAACCAGTTTACTGCTCAATAAACCAAATATATTTTTGTATTGAATAATAATTAAATTATTGTTTTATTGCCATTCATTCGGAACTATTATACATCTTTGATTTATATTTGATTTTACTTTTTATTAAATCTCTGTAGTTGTATGGAAATATTGCAACATTTTAAATTTTTTTACGTAGAATATAAATTGTAGAAAAATAGAGTAAGTAAAATGCTAGTTATTTTGATTAGTTTGAATAGAAACATACATTGGCATTTACCATTAATTAATATTTCTATGGAAGAATATATATGATAGAAATCTTTTTTAATATTATCATTTTATATTGAAAGAAGCCAATTACTCTATCAAAAATAAACAACAAAATAAACAAATTTTAAGACCGTAGGACTGAAAATGCTATAAAAATTATACACTTTAGCATGTACTCACATATTTCTAGAATACAAAGCAAAACATAATTCAAAATAAATCTTTTATTCAATTTTATGACATTTGTGACGAATGGCATCTATCAATTTACCACAAAAATCTTTCGAGTTAACCCTTAAATCTTTATGCAGGGTTGCACATGTCTCGTCGAGATGCAAGCTGCATCATATGGATTTTGGCGAAATATATTATATTTATGAAAATCAACCCAAAACACCTTTTTACCTATGAATAATCGAAAGGATTCGGGAAAAATATGTATCGGACTACTTGAGATGCAACATGAAATTCAAAGGGAATGCAAGTTGTTTTTGGGTTAAAATATCGAAACGAAATAAATCCTTTTAGAGGAGTCCTTAGCCAACTGCGGCGAGAGGGTAATTCCTAATTCTTTAGGGATTTTGTTTGCTTGAATAATTCTATTATTGGCAAAAAAGAAGATGTTTTTGCGGACAGGTGCGTCTATGAAGAAAACCCAATCTTGTGTGAACGAGCGGATATCGAGCCTGAGAACTTGAGGATTTCTTATGATTTGTATGAGAACTTTTACTTATGAATATTTTGAAATGATTGAGAATTTTGTGGGAAAATATGCAAAATAATAATAAGAAATTATATATATATATATATATATATATATATATAAACAATCAATATATTGAAAAAATCCAGGACTTATCTATTGAATATATATATATATATATATATATATATATATACAAATTAACAACCAATTGAAATTGATTAAATTTGATAAATTTTCTAAATGATATTTACATAAAATATGATATATGAATATTAATTTGTAGCAAAAATGTTGAAAAAAAAAATTAACAAATATGCTCAAAAAAATTATCACAAAATATCAAAATATATTCAAAGTAATACTGAAATCTGCAAACAAAATTAATAGCCGATTATTCTTTCTATTATAAGACACTTATACAAAATATAATTGAACTATATTGGTATTCATAATTTTATAGAGAAAAAAATTTTCTTTATGATTATTTTTTCTCACAGAATTCTCAATTGCCACTAATGCCCCATGCCCCTATTTATTTACATGTTTGTATCAAGCCTTCAAGAAATAATAGCAAAACGATTTTCAATCTCGAATGCCCCAGTTCCTTACAGCATAATAAAAGAATTATTAAACACGTGTAACAATATTAGCATTGTACTCAAAATAACCAGTGTTCTCAATAATGTCTTGATGACACAAAATGCCCGTATAATTTTTACAAATAATCGCTACCAGCATGCGCTCTTTTCGACTGGAGAGTCGAATAAGCCACGATATTGTATTTATAATAGGAAATGAACAAAAATGCATTTTCGACATAAGACGAAGTCGCCTAGCACCTGGCTATGGGCATATTTCACAGTATGGTCCCCCCGAATATATATGTTTTGTTTCTTAACCCGCAGTAATTTAATCACCATACATGGATTACCAGGATTTAATAAAAAATATTTGTAACATAAATCTTATACATAAAAAATAGAAATGATATTGTAAAATTGTTTTTGTCTTAAGTTTTATTGATGTAACTTTAATTATTTCAAAAAGGCTAAAAAAATCGTTCAAATAAACAACAAAAGTATCAGTATGGCATTCTAGAGTCTATTAATAAACATATCATATGTATAAATGACTTCAATTAGGTTGGAATAACATGGTTGTATAGAATTATTTTAAAAAATATATATTAGAATAAAATAAAAAATATATAACAATTACCAATTATTCATTTGACCAACACTATTCTTTCCTAGCGTCAGCTTGCAAACGTTACTTTGATTCCAAACTTCAAAATCATAAACGCTCATTTTAAACCATAAATCGCCCCGCAGAAAACTTATTCAACTATTATATAATTTGTGAATGACCGGACCTAAGTATACCCTTATAGAATTTTTCACAGTGTGCTAAATAAACCGCCCTTATAAGGTTCCGAAAATCTTTCATGTCTTATTTCACCTGAGGAGGCAATTCTTCGCTTTGAGACAATAGGGTAACAGCTTGTACGAACTGGCCGAAAACTTGTAGTTTGTGGGCAAATAGTCAGAGAGCTGATGGAAAAAATATATAACCAATTCATAAAATGTGAAAATATTCATATAAATCAGCTAGACTTATTTTAAACATTCAGTTGCCTATAGACTTATTACCCATTATGGTATAACATAAAAATAATGGTTTTTAAATTATTATTTTCTGGAACTACTCATTGAGCGATTATTTCATTGCTCTAATATTCTCATCAATCATTAGCGTTGTTAAGGATATCCCAAAACTCAACGTCAATCCGAAACTAACAAAAATAGAAATATAAATTATCTCGATTAAGTTAAGTTTGAAAATTATGAGCTTGCGAAACTTTTGTGACAAGTTTTCGGTTATTGAAAATTAAGACATTTTGTTAAGCCAAGAATTTAAACTGTTCTCAATTGATCGACTTTGAAGCTACCATCCTTTAAAAAAATGTAAATAAAATACTAGACTTGAAAAAAATCAAGAAAAAAAAATAAAACCCCAAAAACATTTAATCAAGCAAGTGTAGAGTTATCATTATTGTTTTATTATGAGCAGATAAATAAAAATTGCAAAATATTTTTATTAAAACCACTAAACAATTTATGTGGCAAAGAAGCTTTACTTTGAAAGATTTATTTTATTTCGTCACTAGCTCTACATTTATCAATTTTCAGTAAGGAACCGTCTTTTTTTGGTAGTTGTTGAGTGCCAACTTCCACCGAAATCTGCTTCAATTTCGGAACTCGACTTCCGCCAATTCAAAAGGAAACAAATAAAGAAGATACTCTAAAGATTTTGCACAAAAGGAAGCGACAAGGTGCATCTATAACTTTATATAGCTGTAAAATATTTTTAACGTTTTTAAAAAAAAATAGACGGCTGGTAGTAGAAATACAATCAAAATTGTAAAGTAACACATGTTAAGTGACAATTGAATTGATGTAAAATAGAAAAATACGTCTGAAGATTCCGTAAAAATTCAGAGATAAATAATGAAGAAATATACGATAACACATGTTAAGTAACAATGGAATAGGTGTATGTAAAAACGAAAAAGTTTACTGAAGATTCCGTGAAAATTTTATGTAAATAGTATAAGAAACACGGAGTAACTACGTCATGGGATACAAGTAAGCTTATACAAGGATTTTGAACATAAATTATTTTTTCTATATCATAATTTATTAGCAATAGCCTAAATATTGAAATCTATCACTTTCCTCTCTTACAAGAATAAAAAATCTTAATCTAATTAGAATCTTATATTGCTTGTAAAATCCCTTTGATACTTTGCATTTTGATCGATTTACCAATTATTATTATGCAAGTAGCTTTTAAAATATTAAGAAAAAGCAAATAAATTCTTCTTGTTTATAAGACTATAAATAACCATAATTTATCTCTCAATTGCAGCACCTTACCTGAGCATTTCACACCTTTTGCTCCTTTTTATAAAAACTTTTAAGATGAATGGTCAACGCGTGCTGAGACCATATTTACAATCCATTGATGACACAGTGGTCAGTCGCTATTTACCGTAAATTATCGTAAAATATTTATTGAAAAAATAAGTAAAAACGTTGTGTAATACACGTGTAACAAGTACACTAAGAGCTGCACGTGTTAAAAAGAAAAAATATAATAGAATTTCTTGGATTTTTGGAACTGAATGAACGAAAGGTCATATGAATGATTAATACAATTGATGAATGATTAATACAACTTATAATTCAATATTTTTTCCAATTTAAATTTAGATACAATAATTAATATTACAGAAAATTAAAGTTAAATGCAGCTAGAAATCGACTAAGAAATTTGTTGTAATAGAGATAGTTGAGTATAAAATTAAATAAATTTATAATAATTAATCTGATGAATAGAAGAGACTGAATAAAAATATTATATGAATAAAATGTATGACAATTACTATTATTAGTATTACGCAAGGGTATTATACTCTAACAATGTTAATGAATATTGTTAATCATTTTATATTAGTAATCAGTATAAATTATATATATGCCAAAAAGAAAAATGTTAACAATTCCCCAAAATATAAAAAATAAATATAAATAATAATAATAATAAAAATATAAATACTTATTAAATAAATATACTAGTACTTACTTGATTATAGATGCCGTTGTTAAATGCGTTATGTTTTTCTGCAAAAAAAAAGAAATCAGTATTAGATTTGGGGATACATTAAAAATATAAGATATTCAGAATATGGTATCAATGCAATGGTATTCAAAAATTGTAAATATATACAAATAAACTATATGCAAAACATATAACTTTATATTTATCACGATAGGACCGAGATCCATTGATTGCCAGTCAAATTTCATTTGTTATACTCTATAGTCAAATTATTCTAAATTGAAGAAAAACTTCTAATAAAAATTTGAGTTTTACATAATTATTATTTACATAAACCTATTTCCACATTATAATTGATAATTTAGATGTATTTCGCAAACCAATGAATACTTCCTATGAAGGCCACCCAATTTCAATTCATACACGACTTCATCCATCGTCGAAGGGTTATCTCGTTATGTCCTTTGGGGTATTGAAATATGATTTTTATATTTACACTGCTCTGAGAATGAACCATTAACTTCAATAAATTATATCCTAAAATAATCCTATCTCTGAAGCCTAATGAAGCATGCATTATCACCCATAGAAAATGGTTTGGCATATCGAGTTAGTCTTTGTTAATCATTAGTGGTTTTGATTTGTTTTGTGTAGGACATGTTATATTTGATCCGTTTGCAGTATCGTGGGTATCTTGTTTCAAGTAAGGGGCATGTTTGTTATTCTACGGGGAATGAAATTAGAATGAGGCCTTTTAAGATGAAACCAATCAATATTTTTTATCAATTTTATTTATCTAATTTACATTAGATATTTATTATATAAATTATAGTTATTTCATTATACGCAATTTTTTTTGTATGTTAAAAATGATACTGTCAAGATTTTCCTTACATTCATCTATATTAATAAGAATATTTCAATTATTTCTATTTTTTGTATAGATTTTAACAGTAATCAATGCTAAGTGTCCTATGAGCTGTTTTTTTGCACATATTACCATAGTATTTTTTTCGAGAGGGCAACCCAGTGGTAATCTACTCTAATTTTATATGTACACCAAATATTAAATATATTTATATATCTATTTAGAAATGACCAAGAAAAGGTATTTTCACTTAAATCTATAAACTTATTTGATATCATACTGCTTGATATCGAGCATGTCGAGGTTGAGATAATTCGTGCTGAACCACGTTCCACACGACGGCGTGTTCATATTATTTTAATTTTTGTTTGTTTTGAGAACAAGTCAATTCTTTGTTATTTGACTATTATATTTGAGATCTATTATCTCAATTGGAAATTTGAAGTCATACTGCTTGATATCAAGTTGCCCGAGGTTGGAGCTCTAACCATGAACTAATTTATGCTTCGAAGATTTATCAAATTTCAAATGTTTAAAATAGAAATATTTTAAAACTAATTTTGAATATAATTATAAAAATATAAAATTATACGTGAAGCAGCAAATTTAATTAGATTTCAAATAATATTCAAATTTTACTAGAAATATATTATAATTGATTTTAAATATAATTATAATAATATAAAATTATACATAAAGTAGCAAATTTAATTAGATTTCAAACAGTATTCAAATTTTACTAGAAACTAATTTTTCATTCTTATAATTTATAAAAGTTTTATTCTTATAATTTATAAAATTTTAAATGTTAAGAGAGGGAATATAAAAATTTTATCTTTAATTTTAAATATAATTATAAAAATATAAAATTACATATATAGCAGCAAATTTAATTAGATTTCAAACAATATTCAAATTTTACTAGAAACTAATTTTTCATTCTTATAATTTATAAAAATTTTATTCTTATAATTTATAAAATTTTAAATAGCGGGAATATGAAAATTGTATCTTTAATTTTAATTATAATTATAAAAATATAATTAATATTTAAATAATAATAATATAATTAATATTTAAATAATATTTTTCTACTTTATTTATAAATTATGTTAGATTTTTTCAACTAAATTGAAAAATTTGTTCAGAATTTTATTTTTTTGATCTTATTATAGATTTAATAATAATAATAATACTTCATAAGTTCTTACACAATGACGTGCTTTCAATTATTCATAATTTTTATTTTAAAAACAAAAGTCTCTGATTGAATGAAATTGATCTACAAATCATAGAAAATAATATAATACAAGCAATCTGCAATTAAAATGAATTAAAATAAATAAACCCATAAAAACAATGAATAACAAATAATAAATGCACATACAAAAAATTAAAAATAATCAATAAGAATGTAACTTTTTGCAATAATGTAGTTCACAAACTTCAAGAATGACGTTTTTGGTTACAAAAACTGTGCTTCCAATAGCAATTTTGTGGAATTTTTAATTCTAATTAGAATTGTATACTGCTTGTAAAATCCCTTTGATTTGATTTGAATTTAGATCTATTTTACCAATTATTATTATGCAAGTTGTTTTTAAAAATTTAAAAAAAAAACAAATAAATAAAACAAAAGTTCACAAATGTCAAAGAATGATATTTTTGGTTACAAAAACTGTACTTCCATAAGCAATTTTATGGATTTTTTCAAAATTTTCTTTGAACGCAGAGATAATGTTTATATTAATTTTGCTACTGAAATTCTTTTATTTTAAACATTGAATATTATCAAAAAAGACTCATTAAGATCATCTAAGGATACATAAGGATTAATGTTAATTTTGAAGCAAAAATAGATATCTGAGTAAATTTAATCGTATTTAATTAAATATTTCTATTCCCCACCTTAAAATCGTCTCTGGCTCCTTATCCAAGCCATGTCCCTGGAATATACATAGAATAGGTTCGCATCTAAAACTTTAATTAATAAAAGCATAACAGCGAAACAAATATTTCGCACTCTGCTGCGCACACACTTCCGATTCCTTTGATCGGCGGACCTGATGGTATGGGCGACCAATATTGTTTTTGTGCATCTAACTAACCAACTAACACTCGGTGTGTAGGTTAGTGGAAGAGACGAGAGTTTCCGATATTGCAAAAACAACACACAACACACAACAAGTGATAATGAGGAACCATACTTGTCCCTTGATGAGGGACAAGGAAATTGTGCACAAGATTCTAGAAGACAAAACTTGTAGGTAGACACATAAGGTAAAGGTAAAAGATACTAGGGCGGATTATAAGAGACAAATAAAGTTATACATATAATTATTTATGTTTGTATATTATAATATAATGTCAATTACACAGGCCAACAAAGAAAATGGTACAAACAGTTAAGTATATTTGGGGCGCTGATTTCAAAAATAACATTGTTTTTTTTCTATGAGCTTTAGTTTTCAAGATATAATATACAAGGAATGAAAGTACAAAATAGTAATACAATTCAGAATGTTATTTTAATGAGATATGTCTACTCGTACATACAAACTTACAAGATCAATTCGGCTTTAGTTGGACGCTGTGAAAAGTTCTTTTCTGTGACGACCTAGATTGGACCTGGTTTCGGCAACTTCTTTTCAAGTTCCAAACTAGAGCTGATACAAAAAAATGGTTTGCAGATTTGAAATCAGCTATAAGAAATACTATAAGAATACTATAAGAATCAGCTCTAACATTTGATGCACCAAAATTTTTGTATGCCTGTGTTATCAATGGCAGTTTTGTGATCAAAGGAAATTATAATAGTATGGTAAGTTTTTTTTTTAAAGTGATTACAAAGTCCACATCATCATCAGTAAGTTTTTCAGAGCTTAAGCTTTTACGATATGTCTGAAAATGCCGATTTAGGTTACTTTTAAAACAGGATTTTAATATCAATAATACTTTGTATAAACAATATTTAGTACAACTCTTGTTTAGACAGTTACTATTTAATTTTTTTTTTAAATTTTTTTATTTACATTTAAGAATTGCAATCTGCCGTTCTTATACAACATACAGTAATTTTGATGGATTTGTGCATTTTTTTATTCTTCCTAATTTCAGTATCATATCATAACACTTATTTCTGTACTTTATCTTATTTTTGATACTATCCTTATTTCAATTTAAAGGATTTCTTACCATCAAAAGAATCTCAAGACAACGTGTCATATAAATGTTTTTTTTTTTAAATTTGTCAATTATAAACCATAATTCTACTGTTAAAATAAATGTCGTTTTAGCTCAGCACTAGTAATAATTTTGCACTGTAATTTCTAGTCGTGTATCTAAATAAATAAATATACATAAAAATGAATAAATAAATTTAGGCAAATATTGCACCTTAATTAGAAAATTGAAATAAATTGTATACCATACATTTTTGAAATATTTTGAAAATTTTATACATATTTATCACAATTTCTCCTTTACATTTTGGAATCAATTATATATCCGCCGACAATTTAATGATATTTTAAATTAAAAATGATTTTGAGAAAAACAGTTTTTCTAAATTTTCTGGAAAACTCTTACGCATACCTTAACTGTTGAGGTTAGAATAGGGCTTATAATCAAAGATACGAATAAAACTATATAATTATATTCAATCAATCAATTATTTAGCCACCAAAATTTAATAATTATTACAATAGAACTGAATGAACGAAGCACAATTTTCTGAATGTTCTCGAAAACGGCTGTATGTACCTAAATAGTATGTTTAGAAAAGAAGATACGAATAAACGTATCTGTATGTAATTTTCTTAACTAATTTAGTAATTTTCTTAACTAATATAGCTTACCAAATAAATTGGTCATATGTTTGTATCTACCTCTTCGTAAATAAAGTCAATTTGCTTCGAATTAAATTCTATATCAATTTGCTTCGAATTAAATTCTATATACGCTGTTGATAATAAACTCAATTATTCCTTAATATTCTAAATAAATATAAAAAAAATGAATCGGTTATATTACTCGTGATCAGGTTCTTACGATAAGCAAAATTTATTCCTAAATGACCTTCACGTTTTCTTACAACTCACATTCCCTCTTTTTCAATTCATTCGTAAATATATTTCTTTCCTTCTCTATATGAAAAGATTTCTTACGACTCACAATTCCCTCCTTTTCAATTCA